ACCTCACTTGTGATTGGTTCGCAGTGCTCCACATCAGAACACAAACCCAGCTAAAAGTTTATATCACACAACTGCTGTCGTGCGGTGTACCATTGTGCTGTATAGTCTACTATATATTGTTCGACCCAAAAATATAACAATTTGCCCGCCCGACCCTCCCTTGCTTACCGCGCACCTGCCTGGCGGACAATCTCGACAATTCATCTTGACAAAACCCCGCACCCCACGCATCGCATCTCGACCCCATCCTGCTGTCTAATGTAAAGACCGAATGAAGCGAAGATCTCTCGTGGAGAGAGCGATGGGGAAAGAAAGTTTACAGTAAATCTCATTGTTGACGATGCGTGCTGCTTGCTGTTGCAACGTTCTCCGGAACTGGTGTCATTCCGAAAAAATACAGAAGTTCTTCGTACGTACCGTATTCCCAGACCTTCACCTACTTACCACCCGAGAAACACGCGGACAATCCTTCTTTCCCATCCCATCTTCGCCCAACCCCCTCCCACTTTCATACTACTCTCTCATTCGACTAGGCTGAAAGACGCAGCGAAGATGCCTTACAACAACAACTGCATCCGACTACTCTATTTTGTTCTCCTTGGTGGTGGTCGGCTTCTGAGCGCGTCGGCCTTCACCATGCATGCCGTCTCCTCCAAGCGGCGTGCAGGTGCTGTTTCTTCCGCCTCCTCGTCGCTGCAAGCGTCGACCACAACGCCGCCGATTCCCACCCCGTCACACCCCAAAGTCAAGATGGCCGCGGCTACGACGACGTCGGCTGAACCAGGTCTTCTCGAGCCCACCGGCGTTCACCACCCGTTTTACAGTTTGTCTCCACTAACCGGGGCGAAGGCATGGGCGGCGAGGGAAGAACCGTGCTTCAATGGCCTGATCGAGGCCAACGGCGGCGCATCGGTGTTCAAGGGGCATCCGGGTCTTGATGTCACGTTCTTGACAGATCAAGCCAGTTGTGAATGGTTTTTCAGCCAGAGCCAAGAGGTCTTGGATCGGCAGGTATGTTTTGGGATATGTATCCGCATCTACTGCTGTACACATGTTTGACCGCCCTGGTTCCGGAGATCAGATGTCCTCTATTCTCGCTTCCGCGTATTAATTATTTCATAAAAAAATGTTGTGTTTGTGTCAGCAAATGGGGTGTGGCTTGTGATGTCGGCTCACCGCGGCATGGATATAACCGAGAGTGCCTGGTTTCCTCTTCGCATGCGAAACGAAACGGATCAAACGCATCTCTCTCAGAACTGAGCAATTTCGCTTACAGCACTTCTCCGCATTTTCGGCAAGATGGTGCGGAGAGGACAATCCGCTGCTTTTCGTGGCTCTCGTGCACCACACGTGGAGAAGCACAGTCAATCAGATCCTCCCTTTTGTTGATTGAAAGTGTTGGGAACCACCATGACTACTGGCTTACAGTCAGCGCTGACTGGCACATATTCCAGTTCGGACAGAAGCGGCCAATGCCCGCAGCGACCAACTAAATGCTCGGAACTCGAGTTCGGCAATGAGATTAAAAAATATTTCCTTCCAACCATCCCTTCGACTGGGCTATTGTCTCCGAGAGGTACAAAGTCTTCCAGTGAATTCATGCAGTCTATATATTTTTGTCATGCACACAAGACCCGATATCGCGCTTTAAGCCGTTATGTGCATTGTACCTTGTTCTCGTTGTTGAATCGTCATTTGTTCGCCGTGATCACGAACGATTTTGAATGTGCTTGTAGTCCCACATCTCTTTCACCGTACGCGTCCGTACGTGTCTGTGTGTACTTTTCTACACCACATGCGACGCGGGCGCAGGACGGGGCGTACTTCGGCCCTCTCAAGCGCAAGCAGCAGTACATCGGCGAGTCGCTACCCACTCTCGCAAGCAACCAGAAAGAGATGTACCAAGTCCTCCGCGAACACAAAATCACAGTGATCCGATCAAGGCTTCCCTTCGCGCAGTCGGCCATGACCAACGCTACCGACACCTTCTACAAGAATCTCAGGGACATCGGTAAGTGATGAGGCGCCCATCAGCAGCAAAACAAGCGCGAGGGACCCAGCTCGACCGACGTCGATATTGGGTGTCTCGGGGGGTGAGGAGCTGGGCAGTCTTGGTGCCACAAACAAGTCATCCACGTTGACGTCGACAACGTCATCGCCTAACTCACCACCTAGGTTGGCTTAACATGAATACGTGGAAGTGCCTGCTACGGAGGCTACGGAAGGCTTTGTGGAGTGCGAAAACAAATGCCAGAGCTACACACAGCAGTATTTTTTGCTGATGATTGTGTCCCTACCCCACTCTACTGCCGGGCCCTTCCCTCTCTCTTCTCTCCTCCTCGGACTGGTAAAGGCCTGGGCGAGTACACTTTGGCTTACGACTTCTTTCTGCAGCAGGCGATACACTTTTTGCACGAGTGGATCTTCGGCATGGGGGTGGAGGGTGGTCAGCCTCTCCCGCCCTTCAAGGATTTCATCAATGCTAACCCACCCGATGTTTCCGTGTAAGTGAGGCCGCGGAATACCCTAGTGCAGATTATGAGGCGCTCACGACTGGCGAAGTGTTTCGGAAGCCGGCTCAGTTCAGTACACGCCTGTTTATGCTGTAGCCCACTTTGTTGAGCAACGTCCGGCACGTGTATCTACAGTATTACTACTATGGCTTACTGGCCACAGCCTATTCTGCTTGGTGCTCCACCGACGGAACGAAGCCGTTCCCCGTCCATTCGTCGTCCTTCGAACTTGGCAACATTTTCGTCGTCAACGAACCTTCGATCGCTCCAGACTGCTCGAGCTCGGGATGGACACCACTCTTGCGCAGCTCGCGGCCACGTTCGCCTAAAGGGCGAAGAAGGCATCCCTCGAGCAGCTTGCGTCCGTGGAGTCCATCGTCGACGCCATCCGCTTGTCCGAGGTCTGGGCCGGCTTCGTGGAGATGCTCGAGGGCTGCAATGTGCGTACAGCTGTTACTTCACGCAGAATAGGGTGTCTTTCGCTTTTGATTTGACTACGGCTTGGAGAGGAAACGGTGGAGTCCGGAGTACTCATAGCCGTCCATGGTGTAGTCGTTGACATTGACCCGACATCCCGATAAAGCGGGGACGGGACACGCCGGAGGGGGGGTTGCATGTGTGCTTGTCTACAGCACGGCAGACGTGTTGTGGACCATGCTCGTGCTGCTGTCTTGTGCTTGTTGCTCAACCAGTCCAAGTCGCCAGAGACTTAATGCCCAATAGCTCCGATCCCTGCAAACGATCAACCCTATCTCACCCAAGACCGCCGCCAACAACAATACGACAAATGCCAGAAACGACGACCCTTCAGCAGCCCCGTGCACTGCGTTCGCCCCTGCCGCTGTCCCCACCTGTACAACGGTCAGGCGAACACCAAGGATCTGGAGCGAGAGTTCATGTTCATCACCAACGTCCAGGCGGCAGCGGGGATGGCCAAGATCATGACTTTCGTAGTGGCCACCCTGGCGAATAACGCGGAGTTTCTAGGGAAGTTGAGTGAGGAGGTCGATGGAAAGGTTTGTTGTGGGTTTATAGGCAGGAAATCAACAAGAAAAACAAACCAGATTTTATTGCGGGGTTCGCTTTAGCGTACGGCGTGCTTTCACGTCTATCAAAGCTTGTTCTTTCGTTTTCTCGTGCTGAACGTTGCTGAACGTCTCCCGTGGTAAGGATACGCTGCCGGATAACCGTCGCCTGCCTCATTTAGCACCGCCGCAACATTACTGTAGGACCGCACCGCCCCAGAGCTCAAAACACATCAACTAACTCCCCTTCGGTATTGACTCTCTCTCTTCTGCGGCAACGAATGTCAGGATTTGACGTTCGAGGCGGTCAAGGGGGTGGAAAACTTCCCGCTGCTTGACAGTTTCATCTGGGAGATCAACCGGGTGTTCCCAGTCCCAGCCTTCACCGCAAAGGTGAGAAACGCATGTTGCACTCCATCGTAAGTGTGTCTTTCCGTCCATGGCCATCCGGGTGTGGTTGGTGCTGAATAGAGGTGCTATCCACCACCGCCACTGTGATACGCGTCATTTTCGACGACGAGAGGGACCAAGGAAAATGGGGAGCTCGGTCCAATACCGGTGGGGGAAGAACTTTCTAACCAACACATGACCTGTAGGCACAGCGCAGCGAAGGGAGGTCACACCATCATAACATTCCGGAGGTGCCATCGCGTTCTCGTGAATTCACCGCTCGCCGTACTCCCGCTCGACGTTGTCCGCGCACGCGCTGGTCGGTTGCCCCTGACTCGCAGGAAGGCAAGATGGATGTCATCGTGCCCACCAGCTCCGGCTGGAAGTACAAGGTGCGTGTGCTTGAAAAGTGTGAGATGAAAGAGGTCTCGGCTTGACATAGAGAGCACTTCAGTCGCAGCACGTCCACAGAAGCGGAAAAAATGTTCTAGTCCTCGGGTTCCAACTTATGCTCATATTCTTTATCTTTCCTCGACCGTGTTAACCGGCTGCTCAATGAAATGACGACAGCCTCTGTGCGGTTGAACATACATAATTACTCTAAATCTGTTTGTGGGTGTAGAGATGTCCTGTTCGTCTGTTCCCTCTGTTCTTCACCCAGAGAAAGGTGGCAGCGCGTGTCCGTGTTCTGATCCGGCCATTTATGGAGGACTACGTTTTAGAAATGGGTCTGACGACAACCCGCTTCAATCAAGCTACGAAACAAGAAGCCAACTGCAATCGACCGGGCACAAGGAGACGGGGCCGACGTAAAAGTTTCCAGGAAAACGGATAGCTTCCCTCTCGGAAGCAATAGCAACATCAGCTTGTGCTTGTGACTTCTACTTATTTGTGCGGATATTGCTTGACGAAGGTCAAGAAGGGAGATGTGCTCCTGTGCAAACAGGCCCTCGAGCAGATGGACCCGTCCGTCTTCGGCCCTGATGCCCGGGAGTTCAAACCCGAGCGCTTCGTGGGAAACCCGGAGCCAAGAAAAAGGTGACCAGTACCTCGCAAAACGGAGGGATCCAATGTCGATTGTGCTCCACGTTTAGGTTGATGAGAGGTGGGCCGAATGATGATACCGCAACTCACCATGACCACTGAAGGTGTGGTGACGCACGCAGAACTGATCCACTGTAGAATGGTGAGGATCATGACGCGTAAGTTGTGCCGCGTGCTCGAACGTACCCAAAGCGTACTTTTCCTGCGAATCGAAAACACTGCTGCCCGTAGCATTACGTGCGGCACCCCTGTACGATGAGCTTCAAGTGTCGATTATGTTGCTGAGATATGTTTTGATGCAAGCTTCCTGCAACAACGCGTTGAAATTGGTGTTCGCACCTCTCATGTATTTGGGAGTACCCTGGCGTTGATAACGGTCGTACACCTGTTACCTACTGATGATGTCAACGACGACCATGCCGCACGTTTGGCGCAGGTCTTCGCCTACGGGTACGCCGACGACGACAAGGTAGCCGGCGTGTGGGGATGGGCGGCCCACGCCGTCGGGCTGCTCGACGGTATTCTCAAGATCGTTTACGGAAGGTGAGGCGAATGGGCCAGGGCGTAGAATGTACTGCATCAGCCAAGCAGAATATGCCTACCTCAAGGGTTGGCGTGGGACACGAGCGAAACATTGGACGCTAGTGTCATCGACGCCTCCGCTGAGGACCTAACGTTCGATAGGGACCCCAGAGAAGAGATGCCTGTGGGGCGTGAGGGAAGGGTTGGGTTGAGGGAGGTGTGATTCTCTCTTCAATGATGACTCAGCGAGGTCACAGCAACCCTGTACCCTCGTTCCGCGCCCCCGTCTGGATATCACCATGGAACCCTTTTCTTCTCTCCTTCTAGCCCCCATGCACGCGAATGACGGTCCGCCCCCCCTGCTACAACCTTGTGCGGTAGGTGGGTGGAGGAGGCCGAGTGGGAGCTGACCAGTGTCCCGGTGATCTTTCCTGACGAGTTCGTCGCAACAGTCGGTCCGGCGGACCTATCCTTCGCGAAAGTCACGTCCCGCAAGAAGTAAGCAGGGCCCTCCGACGCGGATAATGAAGCAGCGTCACAACAAGGCGCGACTGACTGTGGCACCAAACACCACCAAAACAATGGAGAAGATGATAAGCAATAAGCCAAGAGGGCACACGCAGGGCCAGTCAGTCAGTATTCAGGCGCGCTCTGCGTGCGTGCTCCGCGATATCTTGTTTCCCGAAACCAGACTATTCGTCGCTGAATGTTACGTTGATATTGTAGAGTCACTCTCTTCGTGAAACTCTGGCCATATTTCCGAAGCTGTCGTGCTAGCGGAACCAGGCGCGATTGTCCACTCCGTGATCGGCATCTCGAAGCAGGGAGTTCAGACGACCCGCAGCTTGCCTGGTTCTTAAAAGTGCAGCCAATTGGGCCAGTTGGTCGAGCCTAGGGCTACGGAGGATCTATCACGAACATCGAATCCCCTCACGTACCCTCTAGTTGTTTGCTAGAGCCAACTGCAAATGAACGCGTGACACGCCTAGCACGAAGTCCGGTCTTGTGAATGCCTGTCCTTTGGTCTGCATAGGTAGACCAAATATTGTGTTGTGCGCATGATGTTTCGAAGCTAAGATGCGTCCGGACCAAAGATTGTATGGTGTGCATGATGGTTCGAAGCTGTGATGCGTACTATTTCATGTGGCGGGTAATGCGGCGGTTTCCTGAACGAAAAAGGGTTGATACGTGTCAAGTATTGGAGGTCGACGGAATGTCCCTCGTCGAATCGTGAGTTTTTGAGTTATCTCGCCGATTTGCACATTTCATGAGGATCGCGTTTTGGGCATTCGAAGAGATGTATTTTCTCAGGTACCGACGAAGTGTTTCGCGTATCTTTCATTCGGCTCTTTCATCTATGGTGTTCGCGTGTGGTTGTCGTGGTCGTCGTCAAATCGCTGTGTTGAAGTTGTTGACGTTGTTGTGTGTAACCGTGGGGTTGTTCGTGTTCTTTCATACACTTTTTCGACCGTAACTCTCGTAAACGGTTATTTTTCAAGGTACACCTATACTGGACGGGAGGTTACACTCCGCTGTTTTGCCACCACATACGGTGGTTGTCCGTGCCATTCCATTTGTGGATTGATGACCTCTAGACTAGAGGGAGAGCAGAAAACCGAACACAGCCTCCCTGTTTCCTCTTGTGAATGTATGTGAGGGCGTCTTTGTCTCCTGGTATTGGGGTGGGAACCCAAAGACGCAGAGATCAGGGCAAGGTGCGTCATATTGTCCAGTTAGTGATCGTACTCTGGGGCATCTTGTGCCGAAGCTGTGCTTCTCGAAAGAAGCTTTCCGGCGATACTGCTGTCCCATGTTATCACGTAGGATATACGGACATGCGCAGATAGGCGTCCTTAGATGTGGTACATGTTGATCAGGTTCGTGACGCGTAAGTCCGCCTGCGTGGATGTTGTGTATTTCNCTTGTGACGATATTGTACAAACTCGAGGCTCTAGGCGGGTGCTGTCGCCTGGTTGTTGTGGTCGTAACACCACCTAGGGATCATCGGTACATTGGAGGACAGCACGACCACAAGCATCACCCATCTCTGCCTATCTGTGCCCAAGATTGACGTCTACGTCGATGGCAGCACATCTGGAAAGCACAAAGAAACGGCCCACACCCGACAGTTAGGGGTGCCAATCGGTCAAATCTCCTATAGGAAAAAAATTCGAAAAGTGTCCTGGATCTTCCAGATGGAAAATCGCTCGAGCCAA